CTAGATAGGCAATGTGTTTGTCTCCTTTGGTGTCGTCTGTACCTGAAACGTTGTGATGGGTATTTACTAACCATAATTAACCACTCTCTACTATCCACCCTTCAATTGGATCAAATCTTTGCGTCTGGTCATACAATTACGTCCTTTGATTGGGGGACTTCAGCCTTCATGCAACGAAATCTCAGCTTTGCTCTGCGAACAGTTTAAAGCGTACTTGCAAGATGTACTTGTTGATATACTGTTGTGCAAACATGTTACCGCTCCCTCGAGATACACTACTGGCGACGAAGCATAAATTTTAGACATTGTGTTCACCAACGAGAAAATAATAATTAATGCAGTAAACTTAAGTGTACCTTTTGGCCGTAGCGATCACGCGATGCTTCGCTTCCGCTTCACTTGCAACGCGAAATACGTCTGTGAAAGCAACCAGGAAGTTCCAGTTATCACCCATTACGCTATACGCTTTGACGTCGTTCATCAAAATAACGGGTCTTTTCTATCTGCCCAGCCTCTGAAATCTCCTGGAAGAAATTCGGCATTCTGTGCACTTGGCTAATTTCAATGGCGTCTGAATCCAAATTACTTCTTTCGGAGCAAGTGTGGTGATTTCTGTGGGGCCGGACACGAATGTGCATGATCAAGATGGATTCTGCCTGGCGGGTTGATAATGTACGTTTGGATGCTACATAAGTCAGCGAAATCAATGCATCAAATTGCTCCGCGAAGACAAACTGAACACTAAGCGACTAATGTAAGTACAAGCGGATACCCATTGCAGCGGATTTTAAATCCTCAACCACGGTGTACTACCGAGTGGATTTCATCGGCAGTCCTTCTCCACAAACACGTGCAGCGAGTAGTCTCTTAATTGGCATACACGGCAGCATGTAACGATCATTTCGTTTGATATACACCTACGTTTTTCTGAGAGACTGAGCGACACTGTCAGCCTTTCATGTTACACCGTCACGGTCACTGTTAAACAAATTAGACAGCGTGCACCCCACTTGGTTCCTGCAATTGCTATCAAGACAGTGACGGCAGTAGTCTGTCAACGACAGCTTTTCCGGACGCATTTATGCATAAGTAGCATCTCATATTTTCACCGCCTAATTGTTACGAATTCTTACTTTCTAAGGTGGTTTATGTGAAGGTAACATTCAGTCTACAACAGCGTCGTCACTAACCCATTTATCATTTGCTGGGATAACATTAAGCAACGGTAGATGCGCCACCAACATTTGAACACGGTAGCCAGTGCATTATGCACTGCTGTCGAGATGTTGCAAACCACCAGCCAAAAAACGTCGGCATCGACCCAATCTGAACTGACCGGTGTCCAACTCGCCGAGGGTAATTAACATATTTCAAGGACACATGCACCGCAATCCGTCCTCATGTCGTATTCACACCCCCAGACATGCGTGGGTGAGTAAATACAGTAGACTTACAGGCCATTGGTGGGTCGGCAAATTAGTGCGCTCCAATCTCACCCTCACCTCCGCTGCTGACCTACGGATACTGAGCAAAATCGAAAGACTCTTATCAAACGTACGGTACTGTCCAAGTATACGACATAGATTCTTACTCTAGCAGCAACAGATTTTGTTCAACTTAGTTCTGACTAACAATAAGTTTACTGTGCATTGCACTTTACAGTGCAATCGATAATGCTAGGACACGATGGTGTTGTTACTCTCGAGATATTGGATTAACGCCTCTGCGCTGATACCTCACAAATGTTTGAATATAATCGGGGGAAATTTAATGGTCTGTGATTTGTGGGCATAATAACCTTCCTACTCAAGAAATGGGAGTTACTACTCTGTCTTTCCAAGCCGTGAGAAACTACATTTCATCAAGGCATCGTTGAAAGAATCAAGCCAATGGTACGGCTATGTGCCCTCAGGCGAATGTTCTTCACCCCGGCAGAGCTGAGTGCGTAAAGCTAGTAGTCTTTCATGACATCCGTGGAAGTGAAGGATTTGTGCCTCCGCCTTGACGGTGGTACGGGCTGTGTCAGAGGCGAGTGGGATTATTCACTCTGGAAAGTATGGATGAACCGTTGCCATGTTGGCCGTCTTTGACGTAGTTAGCCCTAGATGATCTGCTGTGCGTAAAAGGGGGTTCCGCGCTGTACGATACGGAGTCTATTGACGTGCAATGAAGAACTCCTTAGGGTTAATGCAGAATATCATTGCTAAAGCATGTTGGTACTTTGCTTTATATCATTTTCACATAAAACTGGAAGTTTTGCAAATCAAACTGGACATGGTTTATTTTAAGCCTGGTCGCTATGACCAAGTGGTGTACGTATGTTTACGATGTCGGCCATTGACTTCTCCATGGTAAATCAACTGGACTATATTCAGACCATCTCTCGGTCAGGCTTATCTAAGTTGAGTTGTGTATACAGCAGATGCTATAGTACCATCTCTACTCTTGATCACGAGCGTCGTTCACATTGGCCAAACACAGGGACCTAGTTTTCCCCTGTCTCCCTATCGGACTTCCCGTATTTTGCGCGCGTGTTTGTGTTTGAACCTGTGCAGTTGCGCAACTGTAAGAACAGCCGGCCTTCATTGGCCTACTGCTGCACGAACCGAACAAACTGAGAGACGAATGATGGAAAAACGCATCTCCGAGGCAGTGGCGGTGCAAATGAACGTCGTTGCAGCGGAATGGTAGTCTTATAAAGACTCTGTTGCTTGACAGCGAAACCACTTATGAAACTATTGAATTCGCCGATGTCAACGAGAGCACGGAGGCAAATTTCAGGCATGCCTATGGGTGAGCAGGTTCTATTAATCAGCAAAACTGTGCGGGAAGTAACATGATAAACCTGATTGCCGATCTCCTACGTCGCACTGACGAGACTGTTAAACGACATTCGGAAAACAATGTGGCTCAGATACAACAGTGAATGAAGAAGAACCAGATCAACCTCACAGTATCTACGGTCTTCAGCGCCCTTAGAAGGCTAAATTTCACGCTCATGAATTGCCACTACGAGTCAGACTGCATCAACAGTGCCACGATAAGCGCAATTCGATAGGCTTACGCTCTCTAGGTCACTGTGCACGCACTGCATGAGAAAGAGAAGTGCATCTTCATAGACGAGAGTGGATTCAACTTCCATCCGCGCTGGAAGAGGAAGGCGCAACCGTCTACTTGTCGGCAGTCAGAAACCGCATGGTGATGCTCATCGTAGCACTGCATAAGCAGGGAATCGTTTACTCAGAAATCATGAACCAGGACACTTGTACTGGTCTAAAGCTCTCAATGTTAGTGGAAGAGATAGTGACTCGTATGTTCTGCAGAGTGGACAGGAACGGTACATGGTTGAATATGGACAACTCCGGAATCCACAAGGAACCCAGATCCGTACTATTAGCTGGAATTTATGTCGCCCTACGCCTACATATAGCTTCGCTTCCAAATCGTCCACGTTAAAATAAGTTGGCAAATGGACCAAAAAGTTAACAGGGAGGGTCGATAGAGAGACGGGGGAAAACGGTTTTGGTCAATGAGAACAAAGTTGATGAACAAGAGGAGGACTTGTACCTCCAAACTTGTGCCGCCACAATTCAAGTTGCATTAGCCTGCTAGCCAGGTGGTCTGAGTATCGTCCAGTCGACTTACTTCCCATTCCTGGCTAACAACTTGTTTATTTTCGGCTTAAAACAAACAATGTCCAGTTTGGTTTGCGAAATTTACAGTTTAAAGTGGAAATGGTATATATTCGTGGACTAGCTTGTTGCACTGTCGCCGTTGTGTTATGTAGATTTCACAGGCGCGCGGTCTCTGAGAGCGCAGTTGCTTTACTTGCAACCTAAGCCGAGTATCCATAACCATGCACTAGCCAGTCCTTTACTTAAAGCATGGTTTCGCTTCTTTGAGCTATGAACTTTTAGTTCTAATGCATTTGCCGCTTCCGGTTTCACGTGGTAATTAGTCTTTTTCAATCGCATTCTGAAGTGTGTTCCGTTAGGAAATGTCAGTTTGTTGCTCAAATCAAATCAGACAATAAACTGTAATAGGATGATTTTCTAGGTAGTTACACTGACGTATTTCGCTTAGCACACGCAACGGGAAACCTCCGTCGCCAGGTCGCTACGACCAAGTGGTGTACGTATATTTACGGTGTCGGCCATTTACTCCTTCATGGTAAATATAAGGTCAAAGATAACCGGTTAGTCGCGTAGTTTGAATCTCAGGAGAAAAGTGATGAGGCTGTACAACAGAAAACTGGTGATAACTTCCTTCAGGTCCACCTTGAGTCATTGAATAAAGTTGGGATTTCGATCGAGTGTACGTTGGATTCCCACACCACGCGCCTCATAACAGAGACCAAAAGGTTCTTCATTTCCAAAGTGGGCACTAAAGGACAGTGCATTGTATCCGCTAAAGACTTAGCACCACTGCTTAGATGCAGACAGCAACAAATAGAATCGACAGCTATGGTTTCTGGGTCAGCAATACTATCGACTTGTAGTATCCAGCCTCATCGGTTGGACAGATTATTAACCATCATTACATATCATTACACGGGTCTAACAGTGTACTCTCAGTATCACTGATCTCAGTATTCAAATCTGTTTCCGTTACCATGGCGACGTCTCAATTCGCTTAAATCTGGCGAGTTCGAGGGTCGGTTGAGGTATTGTGGAGGCCACGGAGATTAGAAGCGTATTGGCATACGAGTCTATGTCAAGCGTAGTGAGGTCGGTCACCAGTCACTGTGCAACACGATAATTGGCATTGTTAAACAACAATTGTGATAGTTAACCTCTCCAACCTCAAGTCTGTTCTCTCTGACCATTGGAACATGTCCCCACCTTATGTTGGAATGGTGACGGACAACCGGCTGAAATATAATAAGTTAGACGTACGAGACCATAGCAGATAACTTTGTTGGTGTATTAAAGACGAATCATGCTGCATCTTAGAAACCGTGCCGTGCAAGTTTCGTTATAATAGGTATATATAGAGCCCACCTTGGAGTGTAAATCGAGCCCCTTGTTATTCCTCGAGGTTGTAATTGTTCATAGTCCTGCTGATCCATACTGGAAGAGCGAATCATCGAATGGTTATCAAAGCGAGCTTGACCTTCCAACACATATCGGTCACTTGCAACTCCAGCGATTACGGGAAGTTTACTACAAATGAATCATTGCGAAGCAAAGTTAATAAAAAGATTGTCTGTCAATAAAAGCCTAAACATCGAGGGCACATACAGTAATCACATCGTAGAAAAATTTGAAATCCCAATTGTGATGTTCTACAGCTCAGTTCCTGGTCAAAACATCTCAGATGATTTTAAACAGCATACTAGAAGGTGTAAAATTAGTAGAAAGAAAGGATACATGGCTCTTTTCAAAAGTTATTTGAAAATACGATCCTCTGAATGTCGTATCGAATCGACAAGGATGAATAGTTAGGGATTGGGCTTCGCTTTGTCATGGTAAAAGACAACTGTACCTATAATCTGATCAGATGACAGACAGGCATAGAACCTCCAACTAACGCAAGCAGACTCGTGAGTTATTTATGAAGCCAAGCTATTCGTGATCTCGGATGAACCCTAAGGGTGTTAATAAGTTGGTGTTGAAGTTCATAACCATCCCCATAGTATACTTGGCTTCTGTATCGATTCAGTAATGCAGCTAACATGTAGCCATTAAAATAATAAAAGCGTTAAAGGCAGTAAGCAAGATTCGACGGAAATTTAGGTTGACTGCCGACTCTGCATCAGTATTCCAGCAGTCCAAGCTCATCGAAGAACTGAGGCATGAAAATGAGTAAACTCTCATTCTAGAAGAGTATGGAGGCTTGGACGGACACAACAAAACAACTGAACCATCCAAACTATTCCTTGCCCGTGGTTATCGTCACAGTCACACTATCAAATTTATCAACATTCATAACGTAACATACTTCGATGCACCAGGTGATATTTGCGAAGCTTCCAGCGGTTATTTTGCCGAATGAATGGTTACTGAATCATCAGAGACAGCTGCACTTATCATGCCGCAAAACAGTGAAAGTCTTTGCACAGTGGAATTCACAATTGCGCGAATCGCTGAGCAAGTCTCTCGCCTACGCTCCTCGACTTGTGCAGGTCCTGTTGGAGCTGCACCATGTTTGCTAAAAAGCAGTGGTATTGACCTGCCTCCGTTTTGTTTAACATCTCTACACTCTCTTTTAACAGCGCAGTATATCCTGCTACGTGGTAGACTTCTGTCGTTATCCAGCGACACAAACTGGAGCCACCCACACGGTTAAAATTTTTCTTCCCATCAGTCGCATATCCACTCTAGCTAGAATAATGGACACAATAGTGAATGTTGAACTACTTATCTTCTTGAACAAGGCTATAATCAGCATCGCAGCCCTGCCTTATGCATAGTCCATCCTGCGCAACATCCCAGACAGACTTTTAAACCACACAACGGCTGCCATAGACAACGGAAACTGTTGTGTTTTTGTTCCTAGATATGAAAAAAGCATTCCTTACAGTGCCGCATCGAAGGTTACCCAACTAATTGCCAACCATAGGCATTGGGAAGCCGATGTTTTCTTGGCTGTCTTCATATCCATCTGGTAGACAGCAGGTGGCGCGCATCGGTGACCATATCTCTGCACCGAAGCCAGTCACCAGTGGAGTACTTCAAAGAAGTGTTCACTGGTCCATTTCTTTTGCAAAATACATTAACGATGAATTCCACAGAATCTGGTATGGAACTACGTTTCTTTTTGCTGATGATACTAAAGTTGTCTACTCACAAGAACGTGTAAATACCAAGGCCACCGTGCGGCTGCACATTTACTCGGTACTCGCTTTACCCTCTGTGACCACTCTAATTCTCTCCACACAATATTGTGTGTGCGCTCGTGCGAACCAGTTCGACGAGCTCTACTCAATTCTTCACAACACTTGGACCTAACCTGTGCAGATTATACTCTTGCTCCAGTTCCCAGTTTTCAGCATATTCTTTGCCGATTTCTACTAGTGTAATTATATCAACCGGAGTTTTTCGGGAAAGATGTTGATTTCGTTCGGAAGAAGAAGCTGAGGTCTCTCAAACTACATGGCAAACATCCCTGCAAGTTGCAACATAAGGAAGTTACAGCCCTTTTCCTCCGCTCATCAACTGAACAGCTCTAGAGACGCTTAGCAGCGCTCCACCTGCATGGTCGCATAAGGCAAACCGATCAACACATGCTGGCGCTTGGTGTGTGTGTGTGTGTGTGTGTGTGTGTATATATTCAAATGCGAGTCGATTGATCGCTGAGCCCGACAGTCTGCGCGTTACGACCTCCATCTGCCTCAACAGTCTGACCTCTGTGCGGTTGAACAATTCTCATTTCGTGTGCGGAAAGCCTGGCGCAAGGAACACTCGTCAAGGTGAGCGTTCAGATGGGCCTTGCTGTAAACGATAAGAGGACGACTAGCATTCCAATGGATCGACGTTGCCTTTGTTGCGCAGATCATAGCAATATAATTCTTAAGATCGGAGAGACATGTCCTAGCTGCATTAGATCGTACTGTCCGCAATGTGTAGGCAAATCCGTCCAAGAAGTGAGACAGACAAACCAAGTTGCTGACACAATTTGGTTTTGCCCAACATGTCAAATGATTCCAGTTGTCAACAGATTATCTTTGCTCATGAAAATGTGTGAGAGGATGACTGAGATAATCGCCCATTTTATAAATACTAAGATCCATCCCACGGAGGTAAACATGCCCAGGATAATACCTCACCTAGCCAAAGTAAGCTCCGAATCTAAGCCGAAGAAGAGATCTAGAGGCTCCAACCGCACTGCAGCGTTTGTGACACTAAATCCACTGGGGCACCTCACTCTCATAAGTGGACAAGCCTCAAACATGCCTGCTTCCACTTCGCCAACCATAGATGCTTCACCTGGAGATTCAGTCATGACACCGACAGCTCAGAACCGAAGACAATTCGGTGCAGATAACAAGCAGGTAACGTACGCATCGATTGGTTCGACAAACACACCGGGAGGGACACACATAGGTCCATCTTCTGTACCGAGCACGCGTGGCGCAAAGCAGCTTTTACCGTCAATTCCAGTGGTGCCTTCTAAACAATCCAACTTGACGGCAAAAACTATAAAGCCTACACTCGCTAGACAAAACCACGCTGCGTTAACTCTCGTGTGCACCAATGTTCCCGAATCCAAATCTGGCACAATGAAAAGCAAGTTGCAAGAGGATCGCAACCATTGGAATTCCATCTGCGAGGCGATTGGTATTCGGGTTGACCCTGCAATGCTGCAACGCGTAGCGCGTCACCCAACCACAGTGCACTCTGGTGAACCTCGAATTCTTCGAGTAACACTAGACTCAGCAGATGAGACAGAGGCTGTCCTACGTTCAACCGTTGGTCTTTGCAAATCACCGAACGGAGTGCGCATATAGCGTGATCCACTTTGGAAAGATCGCCCAAAAGAAGCAGTTGACCAACGCGGCATTGCTAATAGGGATAGCAAGGAAACAATATTTGTTCGTCGTGCTCCCGGGCTTCTGCATTCTTCTGATCACGATGCGCAAACACGTGCTTGAGAGCAGTGGTGCCACATTCGCGAAGCAATCGCTGTTGACAATTGTATTGACAAATCCCCGACAAGAGTTCCGTCATGAGCTAATTACAAGTGCTGCAGTCTAAGAGTAATGAAAGTAACATTACACTCCGAGGTGATGACGGAAATTCTGTTGGATAGCTGGTAAACGTTTCGAGCTAAGTTGCCAACAGAGATCCCGCTAAAGGCAGCCAGCAAACGGTCAAACGTCGGAAGCAATCTGATGAAAGTTTTAAACGCTGCAAATTCCTTATTTGCACAGTCCTTCGGAGAGACCGACACAACAGCGCCCACGCACACAACAGGACAGAGCACAGCACGAGTAAAACTTCTGTACAGGAACGCTCAATAATGCCATGCAAGTTGACTGAAATTCATAAACCAAAACCCGATTAATGCCCGGCCACCTAACTGCTGGCATAAAACTTAACAGACATCCATCAACGTACTCCTAACAACAAAAGCTCTATCTTGCATGTACACGAACGCACAAGGTCTTCTGAAATAGTTGGCCGAACTTAGAATTCCATGCTTCACAACCGCTGGACCTCGTCTTGATTACAGAGACCAGGTTAAACCTTGAGATAACGGATACTGAGATCCATTTACCCTGGAGGTCGCTCCTTCGGACCGACAGAACCGGAAAGGGTGACGGTGTGATTCTTTACTATAATAGAAACCACCGATGTGAAGTTATTTATCACTCGGAAATCCGAGCTCCCGATTCGCTTTGGTGCTGCCTATGGTTGCGAAACAAGGACGCATGTACTAGCCGTGATTTATCGCCCACCAAACTCAAAGTCAGAAATCAATTCTAAACTGAACCACGTCCATCAGTTTGCTTTGAACAACTCCTACACCCAGATGCTTATCGCTAGAGACTTTAATGTGCACGACATAGAACCGCCAGCAACTAACGGTACGCAGTTTAAAGCCTACTTGCAAGAGCTAATTGCTAGCCACCCTCTGTACAACCAGGTAACCACTCCCACCAGATTTCGAACCGCTAACAAGTCGTCGATACTGGATCTTGTGCTAACTAACGAAGAACTCATGGCTGACGGGATAGTTACAAGCACACCACTGGGTCGTAGTGATCATGCTACTCTATCTTTGACTATCTATGCTATGTGGAGTATCCTGAAAAGGAGGTTGGAAAGTACATATTGTCACGCACCATAATGTCTTTTCTACGCTTGTTAAGGATGCAACTTTGACTTTCTTAACCGAATGCCCCACAGATGTTGCCTTGGAAACCTTTGCAAAGATGTTTAACACACTGGCGGCGCACGCATCAGAACAGAAGTCCTTCTAATCCAAAAACAAGCATAAATCATTTCTGAGGAGCAGAACACGTAAATGTATGTCCCGAAGGGATTTGGCATGGCGAGCTCGCAAGGACTGCTTGGATACCGAAAGCTGGACTAAATACGTGATACATCGTAACTTCTGTGTGAAATTGCTCCGTGAAGACAAGGACACGCGTCAGCAGGAGTTAATGAAGCGATTCTGTACGAACCGCAAACTTCTGTACAGGCACGTTAAAGGTCTGCGAAAGATGAAGCGGGGGATTCCAGCACTAGCCACGGCTGATGGATGCACGCGATCAGCAATGAATACTGAATACTGAATACTGAATACTGTATTATAGAGCAAGTAGAAATGGATTCTGTACAACTCTTTCGAGATATGGCGAAAAACGTTATAAAAGTTGTCAACCTTGAATATCATTGTCGTTCTCATGTAATATTTAAAATATGCGACTTACGATATTTCAGGATTCACAAATGTGATGTCATCGTAAGTGTGCAGTCGTTCTCTGAATCGAATAGAGGCAAAATGCAAATCTAACAACGTTTTGAACTGTTGCACCGATGTTGCCTCAATCACATGTTCGGGCAAACTATTCCAAATGTTTACCACTCTCCGTTCGAAGCACAGTGGGTGGGGAACACGTTTCATATCCGGCACAACAAGTTTGTATCTGTGTCCGCGTGTGCTGCATGGCCCTCGTAAGTGCAGCATTGGCCTTAACATGGGGAACTCACCGAGATGTAGAATTCGGTAGGTCATAATGAGGTCAACTCGCACCCGACGGTAGGACAAGGTGTAGAGTCCTAGTTTCTCGCACCGGTCTTCATATCCAAAGCCACGTAAACTCGGGATGAGCCTGGTAGCAATGGAAGCAGCTGATCTCCTACGGATTCATTACTTCTAATCTTTCCAGCAGGTAAGGTGCCCAAACATTCTCCTCATTTCTTATACTCTACCATCTGGTTTAGAAAACATCATCTTCACTGCGGAAGCTGTGTTGAAGAAGTTCTTATTCTTGCGTATCCACTGTTCTCCTGGAGTAGACAACATCCGAGCAAAGGCTTTACAGGCAGTAGCTAGTGATCTAGCAGAATCACTGGCTGTTTTTCTATCAGCCATGTCTAGAAGAAAATCGTATTCCATCAGTATGGAAGCGAGGGGTCATCACTTCTATCCAGAAAGAATGTAGCCGCACTGATCCTGCCAACTACCGTCCAATATCACTACATCCTGTACTATCCAACTGATGCAATCAATCACCGCAGATGCGCTGATACAATATCTGAAAAGCCACAACTTTATAGCCCTAGAGCAACATGCATTTTGTCAAAAGCATTCATGTAATACTAACCTATTAATTGTCCGTAATAGCTGGACTGAAGCTGTTGATGATGGAGTGGGAGTCGATGTCATCTACCTGGACTTTTCAGAAGCGTTTGATCGCTTAGACCATCGAATACTCCTTCAGCAGCTTCGGAATTACGGCACTGGCGACCCAATTCTGAGTTGGATTAGAAATTTTCTACACGAACGACAGCTAGCATTAAGAGTCCAAGAATCATTGTCCGATGCATTTGTTGTTGTGTTTGGTGTACCACAAGACTCGCTGCTTAGATCTCGTCCATTCTTGGTGTTCATTAACGATTTGGCGGGATCAATTGTTTCGGATTTCCTATTTTTTGCTGTTGATAGCAAGATATGGCGAAGGATCAGAGAACCGGAGGACCACGAACGGCTCCAGCGCAATCTTATCACAGTGTGGAACTGCTCAGTTCAAAGCGCCCAACGATTCACCTTAGACAAATATCGCGTTGTGCAATTACGCCATAGACATAATTACACCTATTAGCTTGGGATAAACGGATTGCAGACCAGCTCCCAGGAACGTGAGCTTGGTGCGCACGTACAGAGCAACCTCAACTGTTCAAAATAGGCCGAGGTAGATGTGAAAGAGGCAACCAGTACGTCGGCATGCTGCGAAGGGCATTCGGGATATTTGATCCATCAATCTTTTCAATGATGCACAATTCCTACGTGCGCCCTCATGTTGAATGCGCTATCCAAGCTTAGCAACCTTGGTTGAAGCGCGACCTAAAGGCGTTAGAGGCACCACAACGGAGAGCAGCGAAGAATGTAAAGGGCCTGCGCTATCACTCATACCACCGAAGGCTGAAGTTGCTGGGAATTTTCAGCGGACGCTATCGAAGGCTGTACGGCAATCTCATATTAGCGTATCAGATATTAGGTGACCCCAACCACGTATGCCTCCATATGCTGAAACTTAGCCATGACACGCAGCTCAGGGGTAACTACTTAAAGTTGATGGAACAATATAGCGGTCTGGAGTGTCGACGGAATTACTTTTCCCTTGGAGTTTGCCAACCCTGGAACGCACTTTTTGACTCAGTTATGTCCTCCGCTACCTTGGAAGTTTACAAAAAACGATTAGATGTTGCTCTTAGCTCCCAGCATTTTATTACCTAAACTCCTCTAATGTGGATTACTCCAAGCATGCTTCTCTACAGGAATTATATATCACATGGAACCAACTGAGCGACCATACTTTACTTTCCTCAAGCCTTATATCAACGATCCTTGCACTTCAGTGTATTACTGAACGTTTATGCGCGATTTTTTTTAATTTTACATTGTTGTAATGTATCAAAGCATTCATCTTGGCAGACGTTTGGTAGACGACCCAGATATATTTTGATCTCATCACATTCACCACAACCATCATACTGGACGTGCAAAGCACTTGCTTCTATCCCGTGATAAATCATTGTTCACCGTTCATTGTCTCCTTCATTATGACCCATCTGCCCTTGACTCCTGGTGCCAAACGTAGCAGATGTTATTTGCCTTGGACGAGTGTAATATTTGGTCGTACGAATGCCAAGTACCTTCAGACAGTCTCTTACTGTAAAACACACACATCGTGACTTCGGAGTGCAACATTCGGTTACCTTAAATTTTTATGAACACAGTGCGTACCAAGTTATGAAGTCCATGAAAACCATCGGATACATGTCATCAATTTTTTCTCACAGAATCTCGTAGCTGCTTTTACAAATGATATATATTGCCTTGTGTGGAATACTGCTCATCGGTTTGCTCTAATTTAAGAAAATCTAACCAATATGCTCTTGAGATGATCCAGCAACGCTTCACGAAGAAGCTGTCGCTATTGCTCAAAGATGACATACAAAGGACGTTGTGGTAAGCTAGGATTGGACTTAATGTAGATTCGGAGATCGAAGCCGAACCTATTTTCTACAGAATTATAATCCACCAAGATCCCAGCTCTGATTGTAGAGGGGCCGCTTCCAAGAATGCCTCGGGTGAGCTCTTCGGAGCTAGCTGAGAGCGGATCGAGAAGGACGGCTAGCGACGAGCCTGGGCCCGGAACTACGGAGCGGGAATATGTGGACAGCGCAATAAATCAGACAGATACGCCGCTAGCGCAACCCACAGTACCGAAGCCGAGCCGATTGACACAGCCCAGAACAAGCAAGTCGAGAGCTCTCGAACGACTCCTGGCCGATCCAAATCGGGTACAGAGAAGTGGAGATCGAGGCGAAAACGGGAAGGCGGGTCTTCCAAGTCAGAGCTCCCGAGGCGAAAGGACTGGCTTGTCTCTAACATCCGTACCTGTGTTGCGTTGTGGGACGGAAATCTAGTCAATATTCGATGGCGCGCATGAGACCCTCATGTGCCCATTTTCGGTGTGCAATAAACGTCTACCGCCCTGTCGTGTCGTTTTCGCTACATGATGACTGCGTTCGCGTCTTTAAACAGTAGATACCCCAGCCGAAACAAAGTGATACCAAAATTTACTAGTAGCATTTGAGAACATTTTCTCTTGTCCACTACTCAAAGATTTGGAACCAACTTCCGTGATATCAAACCATCTTCTTCATTGCACAATTTTAAGCTTGCGATTAGTAGACAGTTAATCGTCCAAAACGCGATTAATATGTTGGGAACATCACAATCCCAGGTTGCCCGACAAAATTAGAAACAACACGTACCTAAAATATGTTTAGGCCACAGTCCCTTCCATTTCAATTTTTCGTTGTCCTGCATATCATTCGTGTGATTGTGAAGACCACTGCTTAAGCGACAGGTGGAAATAGAAAACACAGAACCATTCTGAGTACTTTGTGTTATCTAAATTTGAAATTTTTGCCTAAATTTACTTATTTTTGTCTGTTAATACAACAGCATGAAAAAGATGTAAGAAGTTTTGATCTGTTCTTTTTCGGGAATGGCTGTTCGCACCGTCGAGAAATATATATTTTATTTACTTTATTTAAGTAGGAAAAAGGGTACATTCATGAGCTCTTGCCACGTCTCTTTGTGTTTTCCAATCATTTAGCTGCGCTACACAAGCCTAGAAATGACTCCCTCATCTTAACGCGGAATATTTCGCAGCTAACCTCAGTAGTGTCTATTAGAAAAAAGCAATGAATCTATGTGAGTAAAAGGAAAGGTGTCTTTAAACTTGTTGGGTGGAATTCCGGGGAGGAGTTTATGAAATTTTACCAACAATCCAACCATTATTTTCTTTTCACATTTTAAGCATGGTGTTTAAGCTTTAGGACAGGGAACCATACCTACACCGAGACTTACCGTTTCTTCTCGCCCACAGAAGGCTCTGGTACGCGCTTCAAGGAGGAAGCTTGCAAACCGCTTCCTCTTGTCAACTTCGTATCTCTGAGGACGTCATCTCTGGACCACCTTCTCGACGATATTTGGCTACTTGGGGCTGGTGGGAATTCGTTTGCCATTTGGGCGCAAGGTGTACACAACCACTGTAACTGGACATGGAGAGAGAGGGATGATATTTGTTAGACAAGCGCTGTCATATGTCCTCGCAAAATTGCAGTCGTCCGCTCGAAAAGGAAACTACATTGCAACGGCTAAAGTGTCTTAACTCAGTGCATTTTTCTGAATGGTTGAATATAGCAAAATCAATGGGAAGATTGAAAGATAGGGTAGTTCAGTCCGAAAGGGAGATGAGAGCCTTTCATATAAAAATTCGGACAGGACTGGTTGGTAAGTATGGAGGGAAATCTTCAGGATAATCAGAAGCTAACAGACACTTGGACCACTTAGTCAAAGTCACATGATGAGCCCAAGAATTTAACTGCCGAGTAAGCCTTCGTTAACTTTTGTGGAAAGTGTTGACCGCGGCTCGGTGGTTTAGGGTTACAGGATTCAACTGATATACAACTGCCTGGGGTTTAAGTCACCGTCCTTCTATCTTTTATTGACGGGTGCAAGAAACCGATTGCGGAGTGCAACTTTACGATCCGATAACACCCCAAAGTTATCAATATCAGCCTCGATCCCTTTGGCTGAATTGTTTGAAAGCTACTACGAAATAAATCGCAGCCCAAATTAGGAATGAGCATCCAATCCACTCACGCAACAATCGCGCCATAATGATCACTTAGTAAGCACTTAAGTCGTTTTGCTGTGTGAAATCTTGTCATTTAATTCAGGAGACACTTTTTATCTTAATACGGCTGAAGCTTAGATCGAGCTGGAATAAACCCACGAATTACCGGCCAGTTCCATGGGAAAGCCGCTACAAATGACTGCCTAGAAAAAACAATGATAATGAAGAATTTCATTAGGTTGTGTGAGGTCCCGGTTTAAGCATAAAATGTGTAGCGCTGATTCATCAGCAGTGGTAGACAATGTTTTTTGGTTTATTTATTAAACAATGATTACATTTCGATGAAGAGACCTTATGCTATTGGATTGAAACTGTCTAAACTGGTGACTTGCGCTGTGATCACAATTTCCCTTCAAGCATCTTTTAAATGCCGCTATCTTAATTATACTTTCTGTTGGTGAGCTTTCAGAGAGTTGTACTGTATTTGACATGTGAAGACGTTCGCCGAAACTTCTCATTAAATAACTTCTGGTTTTATCATAGGCTACAGCATAAAGCGTTCCTTCATGGTTATCACCAGGCAGTTGCTTGGTTTTGACAAGTGGAAAATTAGATGGATTGAATTATGTGAATGAACTCATCATAACACAGGCACTACTAAGGCTGCGCAGTCAAACCGCGACAACCCACAAGGTTGACTCATTGTTCGGTCTGAGTCCGCCAGTTAAAGCCAGTTAACGTTTCTCCCTTGCACGGCAGCACCATGAAAGCAACCATCACAGACACACTGACGGTTACAGTGTAATCGCACCGAAGCAGCATGGTTTTCATTAACCTTCACCGTTTACGACGAGCTTGCTAATTGCACAGGGAAAGAGGAGTGAAGCCTTTGACGATGAGACAGGAACCTGTATCCACCACATGGATTTAGGTATTCAAAAGCATTTGACCGCTAGGACAATGACATACTATTTTACAAGTTTCATAACCATCATCTGTATTATCCATTAGTTGGATGGATCTGTAACTCTCTGGGAACCGCAGCTAAACGCTATAATCCGAAAATGAAGTGGAGTGTGGCATCCCACAAGATTCAGTATTTGGGCTGCGTCTATTTTAAGCCACTGCTAAGGATCCAGCAAGTTATTACCTAATGCTGTTAATATTTGTAAAAGTAGTGTACATTTGGTGGGCGATTAAAAATTGGACGACCACAGTGTCCTCCAGCACGACCTTAATGACTCTCAGAACTGGTCGGAGAAGAAAGCCCTGTAATTCCATATGGAAACGTGTAGGTTCGTTCACATTGGACAAGGACACGCCTCCACTAACAGGCTTGAAGCGCATGACCTACCGGTGGCCTTTCAGCGCACAATTTAGGTACGCAACCTCCATGTACTCGCGCAGGACAAACTCGATTGTTCCAGAGAGTTTGCGTCCGCTTCAAAAAGAGGTAACCGGCATGTTGGTCTCTTACGGAGGGTATTCGGGAGTTTGGACTCATCCATCTTCTTACTGATACTCAATATCAGCCTTCATCCTCTGAACAAAACGCTATCCAGGCTTGGAAACGTAGGCTATCGTGTGATCTCAGGGCTGCCAAGACTTCGCAACTTCGTGTGAGGAGAATTGTTAAAGGTTTGTACCACTTTCAGTTCAAGAAATGGCTGAAGAAACTCGGAGTTCTCAGTGGGCCTTGCCAGTGTCTACGTAGAAACTGAATTATGATATTACCAAAGGCTGAGTGATCATCATCACGTATGCGTAACGTTCCGACACTCAGCTCAAACACCATGCTGAGGGACAAAATATTGAAACTTAGTCAACGATACAGTCGTTTAGGTTATCAAGGAAGCCACTTCTGTCCCCGGATCTACCAGTCCTCGAACGCCATTCCGAACTCAGTTGTGTGTGCTCTTGCTCTAACTATTTTCCTTAAGCTTTTGGACATCGTACTCATCTGCCTACTTGCTGTCACAAAAATAGATATTCTGGAAAAATTAAAGCGCGCCAGTCTTTTCTGAGTTATAATCCACCCTGATGCACAGAATTGGATGTAGGCGCGTGAGCAATTCGATCTTTATATTTGGGATGGTAGCTATATAGCCTGTTGCGCTATTTTGCATGGTTACATAACATTTCAACAGGCCTACTGCTAATATGCCACTATCATGTTTCGTTTGTTTTCATGTATAGAAGCTTTGCCTTTGCGCCCCTCTCCCTAACTAACACAATTGAATTATTAACCAAGTACTTTCTTATCCATCATAATCCGTTGTTCCATTGACCGTGGCTTATTTTGCATCAGCAAGGTATAACGTATTACCGCTGGACCACCAGCAGCTTGAAAACATGTTGTCTTGAAAACGATGAGCAACCTCTAGTTCAGTAGTCAGTCGATTTTAACAACTGCATTGACAATGATAAATGTATGACTTCTAAACTTGACGAAGGCATTGCAAAGCTATTGCTGCCCATATGAACTTGTGATATCCATTTTAAAAATGGTTTCCTATTGTTTGGTTGGGCAACGAATATCACGTTCAAATGCCAAATATAGTTTCCATTCGAAATGAGAGATATAAAACCGAGTCCTCTTTCGTAAAACTCCATTTGTTTATTCTCCTCAACACAAAGAATGAGTCGTAGGCATCTCACATCTTAATTATTCATGCCTCACCTGATTGTGGTTAACAGTTACTTCGCAATTAATAAGAATTCAAATCGAAAAGACGACACAAAATCATGCTGAACGAGGGCTGCTGACCTATGTTGTTGATGCATAGTTATGCAGAATCGAAGCCTGAGGACACGATGGGATAAACTTAAAGGTTAGTCAGCCCATTAGAGCCTTATGTTTCAATAGATAACTTAGGTGGCTTTACTCGAGGATCATGGCTTTGGAACTAGGAACTACAACATGAAATTTTCTATGGTGTCTGTGTGTGTGAATCCCATACCTGATTGACTCCGTTGTTCATTTGATACCCACAGCGAGCGCACGTCCTTCGCTTGCAGGTGACGCACTGGTGGCTTGTTCCATCGGCAAACTTTGTTTTGGAGCACACCTCACATAGTGCATCCGTTCCCTCGTCCCTGTTCATGGCGACCGCGTTCACCGCAGTGCTAACAATATTACTGAGTACATTTCCGAGAGGTGAGGTTAGACCTGCTTGTTTTGACCCGTTCATGCCCACAGCTGGACTCTTGGCCGCTTGGCTCAGGCTGCTTGCAGACTCCGGTTCAGCGATGACTGGCTTCGCGCTTGTTTTTCTGAGACAGAATCAAATGCGAAATGACGAGCTAAACCATGTTGCATTTGGTGGCGTCTCCCAAAATACTATATGGTAAACCAATATCTCTAAGCTATGAGTACGATTTAAAAATAGCCAGTGATTTTATTGCTTATTGTACATGGGAACCACAAAGTGTTTAGCCGAACTATGGAGGCAATTCTGGAAGAGCTTTTAATGTCAATGCAACAACAACAAAAATAAGTTGTCGACTGTCAATTCAGCATACAGTACTATTTATATAGAATGCTGAAATTCATGTAATGCTACGGACGAAGACCAAAGAAAAAGTGCGCCTGTGGGAATTCTGACAACATAAGGACACTGTCGATGACTTGGATGGTAGGTGGAATTATGTCGTTTGAACAAAAATGAGGACATCAAAAGCATATCACATGACGACAGCTGCCCATAGAATCATCGCGGTAACACGACAAGCAAGCGCAAGCAGTCGTACTGATTTGCTTTGCAAATGTTGCAACATCTACGTTGCCAAACGCGTTGTAAAAATATACTGGCCATTTTGACTGGGCTCAAGAAAAGTATCATATAGCCTCAGTCCCGAGTTCGGATTGGCAATCAAAACCTCAAATCACATGGGTTCGGGACAAATTTTTAAATCCTTTAATTTGGCACACGGCTATCCAGGCCTTTCACAAAAGTCTGAAACTGCTGTCACACTGAACACGAAACTCGCGGGACTGCTGGTACAATTAGTGGCTTAATTCGATCAGACTAATTGACGGTTTGGCCGAAGAAGCAACCCAGCTGCAATTCAGTACGCTTACGATAAAATTCATCGTTTTTATGCTTCCCCGTACTGCCTACAGCTACATTCTCTAGCTGCTATCCGCTCCTCATACTTCTTATGTAAAACCTTTTGCTAAACCCCCGAACTCAAAGTCTCGACATGGAACTCTCCATGTTTTTCCGTGTAACGCACACACACACGCCTAAATTTGGGTGCTGCAAACTTGGCACACTGCCCGCCGTACCGTCATATACGGCAGTAAGAAATGCAATGTAGGATCCGATAGGAGTGCAGCGAGCCAGAAGCGCAAACTAGTATCTGGTGGTGCGTCGGACAACTCACCTCGTTCGACAATTCACGTCGTTAATGAGTGGTAGGCGACGTGAGTTTTCTACCCTTGACATCTCACTTCGATCTCCTTACTGCAAAGCCCGCTACGGCGAGAAAAATTTGTGACGACTTTAAGTGTGTTCATGTGGGTAAACTTCTGCATTCCTATTAAAAACCTGCGAATCGCGTTTCCCTGTGGACACAAAAAGCCAGTATATGTAAGCTAATTTGTTTGCGCATTAAGAATATAATCCCAGCATGTAAACTTCCTAAGAGCATACCCATCGAAGTAGCAACAAAGACGTTTTTGCATTAACTGACCGCCGGTTGATCGGCCACCCTGGCAAGGGACATGAGTGATTATAATATGGAGGATCCGGTTTTGACCACGCACCGCCTGCATTTATGATTTCGGGGACGATTTATTATGATGTGGTGGCACATCTTGGGTTTCTAAAAGACCTTTATGTCAATAAAATTTGCTTTTCCTTATGTTTTACCGATGAGTTAATTCATATAGTAAAAGTTGTGCACATCTAAACAAACTTATACCAATCCGTAGAGAGCTTTTCCCTCTAATCATATATATAGTTGGTGGTATCCATTTCCTCATTTACCCGTAATTGAGACCACGAAAGGCCACAGGAGTATGGGTAGCCGAAATTGCACCACCCATAGCTTCATCTGCCCACCCATATCGCGTTTAAACACGGAAGAATGACACCGTGACGAATGCACATTGGAGCCACATTTCATCGGAGTTGACCCACACCATTTCAGCACGCACGTCCTGCTTAACTGGGGAATCGTGTGTACCCTACCTACATAAGATGGTGGCTAGACCGTAACCCGTTCCACCCCGGATAGAGCCACTCCTAAAGCATAGTACTAGCACTAATACTGTACGCTTCGTCTCCTCCAGTAACTACCAAGTGTCGCGTGGAGTGAGCAAAATTGAGGTGATGCTTCGTCAGGTACGCGCTCTGTAGACATTTACACCACGACCACAGCGATAGGGTATATCATATAGCAAGCATTTAAGATGCAATAAAATAAACACACAGGCACACATAGAGTCCATCAACGGTTTGACCACGTTCCGCACTCATGTACTAATTTGGCCACAGCATATGTTTCGGAATCCTAATGGAATTCAAACGGCGGATATGTCCGAGACACTTCAGGTGCTGCAGTAACAGCATACAATTCCTTCTTTTGCTGCCACTCGGGCAAAGCTCTTCTGTTTCTAGCATTCTGTCACAAAAATGCGATGCTCAGAATCCCACGTAGTCATTGTTGATGAAAACGCTCTTGTAGAACATCCATGTTTCGCCACCGTAAAGGCGAACCAACAGATCTACCGTGTTCTACTCCGTCTGCATAGTTTCAAGTCACATTTTGGTTCCTCCACATCCGAGGTTCCAGATTGCTGAAAGACGCACATGCCTTATATACGTGAATGCGGATCTCACCGGTTATCTGCCAGCCTGTTGACAGCGTACTTCTGATGTAGCAAACATTTTATGAGTTTTCTAAAATTTAGCCAGCAGGGTTGCTTTTCGGGGAGCTCACGAATTTCACTCCTGATGATGGTTGAAAAAGCCACTCAGTATTATCAGAGTTGATAGTGAGTCCGAACTTGGTCGCCGTCAAGGCGAGAGTTGTCGTCATATGCTGCAAATCACCCTCGCTTTGTGCAAAAAAGCGCAATCGTCCGCAAACAACAGCATACAGATGCTTGCCTCACGCACTCGGGTATTCGCTCCGAAACGATGGATCGATAAGGAAATTGAACAATTGACTTATCTCTGGCAAAACGCAAACGCTTAATGATTTCCGTATATAAAGAGCAAAACCAACAATTAATGTACCGGAAAAAAAGCAAAAAATTACCGCATACTGGCGCATTTACCGAAAACTTCAAATGCACACATAGTTTGGTCATTTTGTTCCACGCCCCAGTCACTTAGGTCAACTCATGTAAGGCAAGACGTGCGATGCATCAGTAAGTTAAGTTTGAATTCAGCCAAGGTAGGATCAGAGATGACAGAATGTGGATGTACGTTCTACAGCTGTGATCCAAAAAAGGAGCAAATTTTTTGCACCAATCCAACCGACTGTACTGGGTGTCTAAATCTAAACCGTGGCCTTCCAGTGAGGTGTTTTGACTGATGTTCACTAAGGCTCGGCATTGGTGGTCATTTCACAGAAGACGATACTGCTTTCTAAAAACTCCTAGAGTCTTTAGTTTGAAGTGGTAAGGGAGGTAAAATACTCACTTAAGATATTTTGTCGTCAACGATTGCGGCTTCTCTAAACCAGGGAGGTCGTGTTGTTGCTAGGACTGCTACACCTGGATGACATACTCTGCATATGGCCTCATGTACGCATTTAGCACTGACGAATAAAAGGTGGAATCAAATCGGCCGAACACCCTCTGCATTAGGCTAGGTGTTGTCCGGCTTTTCATTACTTTCCCAACCTGGTACGAGCACCCGAGATCATCCTGCACGGGCATGCCAAGGTCTATTTCATGGGAGGTGCGGTGCAAAAGGTGTTCTCTTGGTTGTTATTCGTAAGTGCTCTGGTGGAGTACGCACATTATTTTCTGCGAGGTCATTCATAAACCTTAGGAATGACCGTGATCCCATTGCCGAAACTAAGAGACACCACAGTGAACCGCTATCGAGTCGGACAGGACACTACGATCTCGCACATTCAATCGGCGTTGGAATACGGATGAATATATCCAGCAGAAGAGCAAGTCACTAGTGTTGTAGCTCCGAAGCTCACAATGAAGAACGCAATGATCAATATGTTCAAAAGCTTTGTCGAAGTCAAGGTAGGCGACCTCAACACCTTCCCAAGCATCGAAGGCTTCCGTTCAACTGGCAAGGGCTAACAAAAGACGCTTGGCACAACAGAAGTTGTGGCGGAACCCGTGCTGCTCCTTAATGAGGACAATACACCTTACTAAATATCCCATGAGTGTTACTGCAATGAAATATTCATTAGTTTAGGCGAGCACCGGAAGAAGACACAGTAGGCTTTGCCTGCGTAAAATTCTAACTAAAATTATTTCATTGTACACCTAGAGGACTGGTGTGATTTGTTGAACTGATTGCTGAGTTCGAATGCCTGACTAGGCCATCGCCAATTTTGCTTGGCGCTCGTTTCGCTTGCGACGCGCAACTGCCTTGTGTGCTGTGCACTCTCCGTTTCCATAGCTAAAGCGTCAACGGTGTCTCTTTTTAGAGATAGGCAAAGGGAACCTTTTATTGTACCAATAACTGTTTCCCTGCTACCCGATCTGTTTTTTGAATCACGCTCCGGGCTCCTGCTAAAGACTACTAGCTAAGTTGGAGTCCCCTACTGCGGAAAGCTAAGCCTTAAGCTTCCGAGATGAACGTTAGTTGCGGTGCAGACAGCTGTGTTAAACTTGTGCGATTTGGAATAGAATGTTGAAACTGTTGGAAATACCTCCTTCCTCGAAGCGCGCTTTGGTCTCAGTTAGATAAAAAAAAGCCTAATAGTACGACCGATTCTCTGGTTTCACGCTGAGTGTACGTCTCTTCCACCTGTCAGATGTATACCTGTGTTGGCGCAGAAGTGCAATAGGCTGAGAAAGATTGTAGAGAAAGCAGCAACCGTGAAAGCTGTCCCACATGAACCAGACAACTCAGTGAACTACTCTGGATGTTTAACATCAAGATCTAATTCAGAACAGTGTACGATTACAGATTCAGATTTAGCCACCCCGACACTAGCAGCTGCTCATAAGATGCGTTCGTCACACATACTGCAACTGATTCACTCCCCACACGGAAAGCTGTTAAAGGGCCGACAACATACGCGTCCGGCGTTGCTACCCGCATGACAGAGGCACCTCTAATCGCAACCACACCCGCTGCCAAATGAGTTATTACTACCAATGCCGCCACGGGACTTAAGACCCCATCACTTGTCCAACCGAAACAAGCAGCCACTGATCATTCCAAAAAGGAAAACATGTGACACGACCATAATTCTCTGACTGCCACTTGCGCTAATGTGACAGAATCCGGAGCGGACTCATTAAAAGGTATGATACTAGTCTACAAAAACCAGTGGGATTCCCTGTGTCAACTATTAGGGGTTCGAGCTAAACCAGTCAATATGATGCGTCTTGTCCGCCAGCCAAACTCCGTACACCAAGGTTACTGCTATCACCCAACTACAAAAGACATGGTGTCGGAGTGATGAAAACTGTTGGCAGAACATGTGATCAAAATGTGGCACAAAGAGCATAAAATGCTGCCATCCGAAATACATGTAAAGGCAATAGACACCTTGAGCAAGCAACTTAACAATACAATTCTGTCACCGTATAGCTCAGAAGGAAAACAATGCCAAAACACACCGGCAGCTAAAGGAGGACAGCGTAGTCACCCTCTTGTTGGCGCTGAGAGCTCTATACAATAACCTGAACTGGCTCTAGGGCCTGCGTCATCGGTCCTACAAAAGATCGACAGGCAGCCGACCCCGCATGGGTCGGCATAGACCCTCACCGGAAACCAGCATCCACGCACACGCTTCTGACCACAGATGCCATCACCTGCTTGTATTCCAATGCACAAGTTCTTTTAAGCAAGCTAACCGAACTTCGTATGCGTCAGGTCTGCACGCCTTGGGACCTAGTTATGGTCACCGAAACATGGCTGAACACGATCATGGATGCTGAGGTTGCACTACCCGGCATGAATTCCATACGAAACGATCGGCCTAGCAAAGTAGGGGAGTGCCCCTGCATTATCGATCCGACCTGCATGTTGATGTCATCGAGGACCGAGAAACGCAAGTCGTCGACGCTCTTTGGTGCCGTATGCACCTAAGATGTGGTGATTTGTGTTTACTAACAATAATTTACCGCGCTCCAATGTCCTCCTTGGAAATGGATCAATGCCTAGCTCTGCGATGCAACGAATCCTGGCACGACCACACAGTCAGGTCCTTCTAGTGGGGAACTTCAAGTTGCACCCAATCGAAGTTCCTGCATCGCAGTGTGAACAATTCAAGGCTGGTTTGAATGAGGTGA